CAAATTCAGCATTGCCATTTATATGCAGACCAAATAACATTAAACAGAGCAGATTCCACCAGAAATTGCAGGTTCATCAGATTTGAGAATAAAAACAAGCGTGGAAAAGTTATCTCTTTCATCCCACCTCACCCCCACTTCTCAGGAAGCTCCAAATCCCACCCTGCTGGGGCTGAGGAGACTTTGCCCTTTTGGAAAGTCCTCGGGAGTGGACATGATGCAGTTCCCAGGCCCCTATTTCATCATCTTATAATGTTCTATCCGTGCTACCTACACATCAATTTTTATCCATATTCTCCAATTAAATGGAGATATAGAGGTCACTTAGGTCTATTTGAAAGAAATCCCAGAGATAATGTATGGGGAAAGCACTTAGGGAAACTGTAAATGCCATTCAGATATAGGGAATTCATGAAAATATCATGCCTTTATTTTTTAAAAAAATATCATGCCTGAACATTTGGATTATGCTCATTCCTTTTGTTCTCTGGAATTCTGTGACCTGCCAGAGAAGAAAGTTGAAAACAATTCAGAATTGAGGAAGCACTAGATCATTTTTGTTTTTAAGTTAATCAGTGACTATTGTTAATTGAGGGGAACAGTTTACATTGGCAGTACATGAAACATCCTGTAGAAAACTCGCTGACCCTCTACCTCTTTTCCTTTTACTCTTCCCCCTTTCCTTTTGCGGAATGATCTGAGATTTGGCATAAAAAGTAGCTCTTTTTTATTTACTCTATGTCATTTCTTGCTTGTGTGAAAATGAACCAACTTTATGAATATTAAAATAAAGGTTGTACGTTGCAGTGTGTATATGAATTTGACAATTTCTGTAATTCAAATTGGTACATTATAAGGTTCAAGTATTGTAGAGACTACAATGAGCCTGTAATTACAACAGAAGGTGAGAGTAAGTATGAAGCAGAATAAACTATACTTTTAGAAGGTGTATTCAACTTCAGTTTACATTTTGCAAAATTTTTATGGGAAATTTAGTGCTCTTATCAGTAATCTGTGTCAGACCCTATATATTACAGTTACAAACAAAGTCAGTTCCTGAGGCAAAATGTATATAGCTACCATTCTAGTAAAAGCAATCTTTGTTGGTTTCCAGGAACCATTTGAAAATTTATCTGCTATAATCACTGATTCTTGACATGTGACAGACTTGCACAATCAATTGTTCTAATGCCTTTTCTTTGGGCAGATGGGTAAAAAGCTAAGCTATTCAGCACTGATACTTAGCGAATTTTTCCAGCTTGCCATGGATAGAGATTCCCACAACCTCTGTTAGCCCCATGCCAGGGTAAATTTCTAAAAGTTACCCTTTATATATAGCCTCAGTGTCTCCTACTTCAGTTTATCCCAGCTACTCTTCAGTTGAATCCCTACAGATTTTGAAGGAAATACTCCACTAAATAATCCTATATAATAAAACTCTAATATGCAAATCGACCAAACAGTGGAACGACTGGTCACTATGACATGCACTGACCACCAGGGGGCAGACGCTCAATGCAGGGGCTGCCCCCTGGTGGTCAATATGCTCCCACAGCTGGAGCGCCACTCAGCCAGAAGCCAGGCTCACAGCTAGTGAGCGCAGCAGTGGTGGCAGGAAACTCTTGCACCTCCATGGCAGCGCTAAGGAGTGTCAAGCCAAGCGGTAAGGAGCGAGCAGGCAGGCTGTTAGGAGTGAGGGATCCCAGATTGCAAGAGGGCGCAGGCTGGGCTGAGGGACCCTCCCCCATCATGAATTTCATGCATCGGGCCTCTAGTTATTTAATAAGCTTAAATAAAAATGGTAAGGCAAGAGGTCTTATCTATCTATATTTTGGGGGTGACTCTTATTTTTTCAAACTAAAATATCATGTTCCCTGTATTACCTATATAAGGTGCAAAAATTCCGACTAGCATACATCCAAACAGACATTTGGAGAACTTTGCAGACTCTAAGTATTTTGTGTAAAATGATTTTTTGGGGAAGAGATTTACATCTTTGACCTTTAAATGGATTATTGAAAGGGAGGAAAGTCTTTGTGGCTGTATACTTTAAAAACATTTTAGGTTGAGGGATTATCGTTTTAAGAAATATTGGAAATATATAAGTGGATATTGGTTTCTGTCATACTTTCTGTGACTTAAATATATTGTCTCAAACATCTACACTAATAAAAGATAAAGATGCAAATTTACAGTACATTCACGACGCCCACCAGCCAATCAGGGGTGAGTATGCAAATTAACCCAACGAAGATGTCAGGTTAATTTGCATATGCAGGTGCCAAGCTGCTGGAGGCGGGGCAGGACTCTTGTGCCTTCGCCATGGCGACGACGCAGGCGTTCCGCACCACCCCATCCGCTCTGGGCCTCTTGGCAGCGTGGGAAGGTGGAAAGGCAGCTCCGGGCCAGAGTGAAGGCTAAAAATCGGCTCCAACCGGAACGAAGGTGGTGCCGGCAGCCAGGAGAAGGAAGGCCCATTCTTGCACAAATCTTTGTGCATCGGGCCTCTAGTCCTATCTAATAAAAGTGAAACATGGAAATTGGCGTACGACTGCTACCCTTCCCATTGGCTAATCAGCGAAATATGCAAATTAACTTCCAGCCAAGATGGCGGACGGCAGCCAGGCAGCTTAAACTGAACATGAAGCTTCCTTGCTTCAGTGACAGAGCACTCCAACGTTCCCCACCTGCCTTGCCGGCCTCTGAGCGGCCTCTGAGCAGTTTGAACATTGTAACAAAAATAGAAGCTAAACAAAACCCCAGAAACCAGCCTTCAGCAAGCGGGGATCTCAGAGCTGGAGTTGATACAGAGTTTCGATTATAGAATCGAAACAAAGCAGATACCTACTTTCAACAGCGGAGACCTCAAAGCTGGAGCCAAGCCTCAGAGCTAAAACTGGCCCAGAATAAAAAAAGAAAAAAGGAGCGGTTGGGAGCTTCCGTCACCCGCCAGCCTGAAAACAGCCCTCAGCCCCTCCAGTGCTCAAGGTCAGCATCTTCAAATCTCTTTACAGGAGCACACCCAAAACAATACAAAGGGCATTTTATAATGCTAAAGGCTACAATATAGGGTGAAGATAAAATAGTGATTAATATTTGTCAGTAACATTACAAAATTTTCACTAAAGCAGATACAACAGGGAGATGCTAGGACTGGCCAGGGACACCAGTGGGGAACCCCACCCTGACTGGTGTGTGACCAGCTGCAAACAGCCATCATCCCCTCACCGCGGCTGGGCAGGCCCCCCAGTGAGGACCCCCACCCTGAAGGGTGTGTGACCAGCTGCAAACAGCCATCATCCCCTCACCCAGGCTGGCCAGGCACCCCAGTGGGGCCCCCCACCCTGATCCAGAAGGTCAT